TGTCACAACACCGGAGATGGAAAGGCTTGTAGCTGAATCAATCAGTTTGTGTTTGCCAGTATCGACCAGTAGCTGATAGTGTTGCATGAGATCCATGCCAATAATGCCGGTAGTTACATCTGCTACAAGGAAAACCCAGCGAAATGACCTACGTAGGCCTATGTTAAGATCCAGGAACCTTTTGCCGTACGTTGTGATTGGCGAACCGTTTGCGGCGCGAAGCTGTAAGGAAAGTGGCTTCTGGCGCTCTTCAGATGTTGGTGGAATCACGCTAACTTCCGCCCCAGTGTCAACTAGTAAGCGTGTCCCAGTGGTACGGTCGGTAACATAGAAGAGGCGACATGGAAGTGGTTCGCCAGCGACGTTAGTCGCCAATACGTGCTGGCTTACTGGTTTCCCGAATGCTGGCCATCAAAGGTGCACGGGCGAGTGCACTTTTGGGCCTTATCACCATAACGCCGGTGATACCAGCACACTCCAGGTTGGGAATTTTGAGGCCTACGACGTCTGCTGCCAGCTCGTGAAGAAGATCTGCCACTAGTCGAGCTGGTGCGGCTATGTGAACGACCTCTAGATGTCCTCTCCTGTTTTAACTTATCTATCTCTTCATAAAGCTTAGCTATGTAGGCCACCACATCTAATTTTGATGACCCTTCGGTAGAGGAGCCCTTCGTCTGAGTTACGGTTACAGCCATCCCGTGAACAAGACGATATATAAATAGAATGATAACAACAAATATGATAACAAAAAATATGAGTAAAAACAAAGCGAATTTACCAATAATAATAATTTATATTTTCATATAAACATAAATTTACATGAAAATGCATGCCATTTTTACAGGCACGATCAAGTATGATATAATGACAAATAGTAGATTGTCTACAAGTTAATAATGTTTGAACAGCTAGGTATTTGATATATATATATATAAATACACTCATTGTCTGATCCATGTCGTATCATTATTGAATTAAACAGTAGTCCTCCAGGTTGCGCAGGAAAATCGACATTGTTTCGTTTTCAACCCGTAGTTGTAGGCATACGATAGCCAACCAATATTGAGGTAAGTACGACGTTTACAAGGGATAGTAAGATTATCACTTTTTTTAAAAGTTCAAATTGTTGAATTATATAGTACAAGCAATCGGAACAGATTCTTATTATTGTTAATTTGTAAATCTTCCACGAAGGTTTCCATCGAAGTTGAGCGACAACCACGTGCCGGAACGCTATTTCAGGAAGAGGAGAAAATCCTGCACAGCTACAAAGTGGTATAAAATGCAATCATGAATAATACATTATTGGAAGTATATTTACAAGAAAAATACAAGAATAATCTATACACTACTTGATATGATAGTGCACATTTGCAATGTATGATGCTAACCATATTGGTCTTACCGTAGAAAACTATGACGTTTTCCATGAAAATAAAGTTATTCTCAAAAATGAGTGCTGTTGTTATGTTTTTTATTTTTTACCATCAGAGCAACCAAACTTTATGCGAGAGAAGAGTGTGAATGAGAAAAACGAAAAACAAAAGAGTAAATTTCAGCTTTACTAAAGGCCTAGGAAGTTGAGATAAAATAGAGTATAATAGTAATTAGGTAGAAGGATTATCGTGAAGTATATAAGTGACATTTTAGAGAGAAGTGGCTAGAAGGATTAGAACCTGTTGAGTATGGTGACCTGTAGGATGTCTGGCGAACTTGTGTATGGCCCATGGGATAGCATCTTGACAAGAAACTGAGCAGGCTTGTAGATGTTAGGAGCGAAAGCACTATTTTTTACAAGCTAAAACTGAACAGTCATTATTGTTTTAGTTTTTTTTAAATTTTTTTATAAAGTCAATTTTTTTATAAAGTCAATTTTTTTATACTTTCAGTATCTAAACTCATGTTTAATTCTCGAGCTGTTAAACTTCTCCTTAACTGAGTTTTCAGTTATTTGGAATGGACTACTAGATAATGTACGTGAGGCAAACACGCTTCGAGCATTCATCTCCTCAGTCACCAGACTGACTAAAGGTGGCAGTGCTCTACTTCGTCTGACTCCTACACCTTTTTCACCCTACGTAGGTATATTAGGGTGTAAGTAACAATTGTAAGTAACAATAAGCCTGATCAATCAATGTTAATATTATTGGAAGAGCTCAATAAACATTTGCAGACAGGATATAAATATTAGTTCATAGATGCAAAAGTTAGCACAACAGGGCTAGTTAGTTAGTCAGTAGAAACCATGGTTTCTATACAAAGTATGTACATGTTTCCTGTGATAACGTAACTTTAAACACTAAAGTTGCAATTTATACACCACTTTGAATTTCGTGTTAATTAGGGAGTTTGTAGTCCATTGAACTGCCGTACATGTTTTGCCTTTGCACACAGTTTTGTTATTTGTGAGCCATTTTATGTTCGGCCACTGTGCTCTTGGTATTTGGACACCGGAAAACCTAATATTTGTGGATTCGTTCCAGGTTTATCTGGTACATTTTGTTCAGCAGAACAATAATCTTCCAGTTTGTTGTCAATATAATTCTATTTGGGTTAGTTTGTTTATGTTCTGGATTTGGTAGGCGACCGTGAGTTCGCTATTTCAGAGCGTTATTTGTGTAGTGGCTGCAACAATATATGCTTTCATATCTCACTCTGAGATGTCCTTGTATCTCTCTCTATCCTGATGTTCCTTATCTCCTTTATCACCAGTTCTGCTTGCATTTCATTCTCTGAATGATGATGGGGAATGTAAATATTCGGCCACTTACAATAATAATCTTGGGATATCCGAAATGTATGGTGGACCCAAGTGTTATAAATGCTCTGCAAAAACCACATATTTTCTCCTGTGATGTGTGCTTAGTGGAAGTTGTGGAATATAATCTTTAGACAAGTATTGAAATCCCAGTCACTGCGCCAACAAATCTGGAGACTTAAAAAATAATGAAAATATCCTGATACTTTCCTCCCAAATCTCCCTGACTGACATGGTCATAATTTTTATCTTTCGCATGCTTCATCGTCATTTTCTATGGATTAACTCACCATTATTATGGTGTATGACTGAGTATGAGCTAAGACACTTACCTGTAACTGAATACTGTCGATATGATAATACTTCTTTACACTTTTAACTGGGCACCGCTATGGTGGTCCACCTGCAGATAATATTGCCGCAGACATTGTTATTGGTAAACTAACCAGCGTTTTACAAGGCGGTTTTACCGTTTTATGAATAACTTACCGTATCCATCACTTGTAATGCAAACTTCAGCTATTACGCATGTTTCAAATTTAAACAGTGATGCCCACTATTACGCTACATACACTACCTCCACCTACGTAAAGTGACCTTTTGGATTTTATCCCATTAACCTGTCTAACCTATAAATTGTGCAAATGAATGATTGTAAATGTGCTTACTTCATGCATTTAATATTGAACATATTGATGTTGCATCTAATATGGTGCCCCTCTTGTACAAAAAATGATAATATATTTATATTATTAATATTCAGTAGTGTCAGAAACTTTCCTTCGAATGGGTCAGAGTAATGCACAGACATCGTGTTGCCACGCTTCTCACACTTATTCACCATTATGTCAATGAGGCTTTTGTGATTCTGAAGTCTTTCCAGTCTGTGTTAGCCTATATTATTCGGCGATAACCATCACTGCTGTTGTTGTGAGCGGATTTCTAAAGTTATGGGACTTTGGTGAACGCGTCAAAGTAGAAGTGAACTTTCAGCTAGTTCATTTGTGCACTCCATAAGCGATTTTAACTTCAGTGCTTTCTAAAGTCACGAATATATACATAAAGCTTAGTTAGAAGGCTTGAAGTTTCGTAGTACTTCCCATCGCAAAATTTTAAAGTGGTGCACTTAAACATGCTGGGACATTTGAAAAGATTCTGTGTGAAGAAAGATTTAAGGAGCTAAATACTCACATATCTAGGTATCACAGATTTACGAGTGATCTAATCAGAGTTTATAAGTTGACAAGTAACCTGGGTAACCCAATATATGTACTGATAAAAATCTATTGCAATTATCATTACGAGAACTCAGAGCATATCTCTCATTAGTCAACATTAACTCAAGAATATCCACTTATCCGTGCCAACTACCAAACATTTCTTAAGGAATTTTAGGCCAAAATAGTTATTTTTTCTCATCGTCATAACCGCAAAAGAAAGCCTGAGATGACCTGTAGACCCCTCTCATTTGCAGACCCACTTGAAAAACCTGTGGTGAAGCAATTGTACACTTTCTACATGAATTCCTCAACATCTGCACTACAAGCAAACATTTATCACGAACTAAGATCCGGTTAACAGCCGGATCTTGTAGCTCAGTGGGTAAGATGAAGGTTACATAATTCAAAGATATTGGCCATCGTTCCATCTATCGTCACCCATTTGCTGACGCATATTTCTTCGCACTGTCATTTGTTCCAGTTGTTTTAATTTTCTCATTGTCTGGCTTTTTTCTTTCTTTTATAAGGTAGCTTTGTTTCATCTCCTGTCCGACTTATTTTTATCCACGTTTTTTTACTTTCGTTTGACCATTGTGAAGGAACGTGACTACACAACCCTTTACTCCTTAAGTGCTGACCTGATATTTATTATAAAACCAGTCTTGAGTTTCGCAGCTGACATTTAGTCAGCTACTAAAATAAAGCGAACAGAAGTCGAGTCGCCAAAATTTTTCGCTTGAAGCTATTCGCAGTATTCTTAAGTGACATTCAGCATGAACCAGCATGTCAGTCATTACTATCATCTTCCGATCAACCGTCCTTTTGTCTCACTGCTTTAACAAAGACTCAGTATGCTACATCCTGAGTTTAATCTTATTGAATATACTTGAAATCTGAAATATTTTCATAAAAGAAGGAGTTTTCAGCTAAAAAATCAGGCTCATCATTACAATCAAGAAGCAAACAAAAAGAAATCAAAATGGTTTACACTAGCTGGTAGAAACGATATTGGATATTGATCATTTGGGCTTGATGTGTCCACGACCTTAGCAAGTGTGGGAATTCTGGTTTCTCGTGGTACACATTGATGATGAATCCTATTGCCCCAGCCCCTCTTCCTGTACTCCCCCCAGTTGCCGCACCCCCTATGCTAGTGGGACTTCCTCACCTTGCGGCCCCTGGGGCCATCCCTGCTGTTGCCCCTGCAGTTGTTATGCCCCAAGCAGTGCCACCCATGCCGGAGGCAATTGGACAACCCAATAATACAATATATATCAACAATTTAAATGAAAAGATCAAACGCGATGAACTAAAGAAATCACTTTACGCTGTTTTCGTTCAATTTGGTCAAATATTAGATATAATTACATGTAAGTTCTGTATTACCAGCTTTGGTTCTTTAGAGTTCGATGATATTTAATTAGTTTAATCCTACTGAAAAGTAAAATGCCAATATACATATATATGTGCACACAGTGGCTTCATGTGCCTTACGGATACACAATTTTTCTCGTAGATACATCCCATCGCAGAATAATCAAGATTTTGTGCATTTGGCGGTGGTAAACAATAATTTTGCGTAGCAGAACAGTCAGATGAATCACCTAAAGTACCATACTTGCACGTCAAAAACATATATACATGAAACTCGTGGGAACCTTGCATAAGTTTTACTCATTTTTCAGTGGAATTACTGTGTAAATAATTTTCGTACTCCTTAATGTTAATATATGTAGGACTAGATTTCAATCACCTCCGGTGGTCGTCAGTTTCCTGTTGATTTTACCTTATATGGCTAACTTATATCACATGTTTATCATACCTTTATAATCACAATTTGTCTGCGTCACAGTGCGTTAATGCAAACTGTCCTAATTGATATACGCATTATGATCCTATGATCTTACGCATAAATCCAGTTTGGTGCACTTGTTTATCTAAAAGATCAGGTCATCACTGAAAGAAGTATAAATAATACCTCATCAATTTCCTAATTTACTATTCGGAAGTGTCAAGTTTTTAGCTGATTTTTGTAGATATCATTTCACTTCATTATCTACCTAAAATTTCCGTCGAAAATTGAATTTAAATATATCTGACTAGGCTGTTGGTATGTTTATTGGCACTGAAGTTTGAAAAGTTAAAGGTAAACGCATCTTTCATGCGAAAATTTGAAGGTGATTTTTAAGTACACATTTCTTAAAGACCATCAAAGCGTGTTGTCTGAACTTGGTCTGACAGTATGCTGAGTTGTGTAATTATTCACAGTGGCTTGTCGTTGATGGATAAAAAAAGGAAATTTATGGGCCTTCGTTACTACTCGTCGTAACTTAATGACTATGATTCGTATGGTTGAAGCTTTACTTGAGAGCTAATGGTTGGTCGCATTGTACAATAAATTTACGATTCAATAAGACGTCAGCTAAGGTCGTTTCCGTACTTAAACCACTGAGAGTAAAACTTCTGCTTAAAGAGATGTACACCTTAGTTTAGTTTTCTAATGATAGTGTAGAGGACTGAAGGATTACCTATCAACTCTCTAGTTGATTACTAAACTCAAAATAGGAGAGTTGAGTTCCGGTAGTGAAGAGATACTCAAAATATTCTACTTTATTGTGGTAATTTAATGAAATTTGTTGTCCTTTCTAAATAACTATCAGAAACAGGGAATAACTAATTTCGCAAAGGTCAGTTATGAATAGGTCTCAGTGGGCGTGTAGTCCAGCCCAAGGTTTAACATTTCGTTGCTGTGGTGACCAAAAGCAAAGTAGTAGGTTTATGTGTTGGTCAGGTAGATGCCAAATCTATTTGTGATGACTTGTATCGTTAACATCGATGTAGACAAAATGGATAGTACGTATGTAATATCTCATGGATTCTGCATCCAATGAATGTTACTTTGAAGTATAACCTGATTGACTGACTGGTTTCAACATAGAACTTTGCACAGATGTCCAGCAGTTCCAGTTGCCACTCTCCCTCCATGTAGCACACAAAACAAGAGAAGAGATTGAGTAAAGAGAGATTCAAAAGACGTAATAAACAGAAGTGTGAGTCAAAACGAATTGTAATATATAAGAACAGTAGTTTTATTGAAGATGACTGAAAAATTAAAACGAGTGAATGCATCTGCGCCAGCCATTGAGGACGATGAGTTTGAGTCATCATCAGTTATCTCCAGCCATTGGATTTTACCATCCCGATGACTCCAACCCGGAAGTCTATACCTCCCAAAGTGGTTTAAACTAACTGTTGTGGATTTCATTGACCGATGAAGCCATGTTTTCGTTTGACCACCACTAGCTTTCTCTTTTCCAAGCTGATTTCATGTCACCTAACATTTCCTGTGGAGGAAGGCAACTGCCAGGCATGTGTAACATATGTCCTAACCATCTTGGTTGATATAACGTTGCAACCTCGTCAATTGACTTCCCCTCCTTATCTCGCACTTAACTGATGCCTAACCTCACTATTACTTACCCTATTATGCCACCTAACACCAGAGGTAAATTAAACGCAGACACCTATGATGGATGACAGCTAGCCTTTTCGTGTCTTCCACTTTCAATAGCCATGTCTCATAGCCATAAAGGAGGACAGAGCGAACTGCTAATCAGTACACACGCCCTTTGGACGAATAACTTAGTCAGTACGTAGTGCACACATTTGTATAATAGCAAATAAAAGTACTATTACATTAAATTTACTATACAATAGAACCTTATTCCTCGCTAGTACATTTTGTTTAAAAAGATTTCTATTCGATCAATTACACCATTACTTTTTTATTGACTTCTCTAACCTTCCTTGATCTCTTAGGTACTGTCTATAAACCCATTGGATACATTAATCATTCACGCTGTCTGTAAATTATTTTCAAGTATTGATTTTGTAGGGATTTGTTTGATTGGTTGGAGGAGGACTTCATCATGAGCTGGCATCAGTTAGAGAACCATTGGAAAGCCAGTCAGGGAGTACTGGACAGCTGTTTCGTCAGCCTAGTGTGGGACACTGCTTCATCAGTACGCACCCACACCACGGGGTTCGAATCCACCACCTTCTGGTTCCAAGGCTGGTGAGCTGGTACACCATTAAGCCAGTCACTGGGACCCGATCCAATGGCCAGCCCGTGAATTCCAACTTCTGACAATTCACGACATAGCACAAACACTTCTCAATGTCTTCTTCGATGAGTTACTGCCTCACCTTCAACCTGTTGTACCCTACTGGTCACGGCTTCCCACTAGAACCCCAGGAGACTGTCTGAATAGAGACAGTCGCTAGTGAACATCAGATTAATTTTCAAGTATTGGTTTTGTAGGGATTTTGTTTGACTTGTTAGAGGATTTCATCGTGAGCTGACATCAGTTACAGAGCCATTATTTGCCTGTAGATAACACCGGTTACATGCTGTCTAACTTTACAGTTACAAAATTGAGTCTACACTCAATTTTGGTGGTTCCAATATCTAAATAAGGTTAAGTGCTGGTAAACAAATCAGAGTAGTATTTAGGAAAATCTTCCTACTGTTTGTATTGCTGCCAAGTTGTTCAATAGTTAATCTTCCAGATTCACTGAATCCTTATTATGCTTCACGTAGTTATTCTTTCTCCTACTCATTTTTGTTATATTCTACACAACAAAAACCTGAAATTGCTACACATTTGAGCATGCTTCTACTTTGAAAATCTAGTCGGTCAGATGTCAATGAGGAGAACGATTTTCACTCTTCTAGCAAGACTTTTGATTACTTTATAACGACTCAAGTAATATAAATTGCCAGTAGAATAAAACTTGTACACTGTGGTAGAGTATAATTCCATTATGAGTAAAATTTGTTCTGATAAAGTCTCACAGTGTTATACAGTAATGTTTATTGAGCAATAAATTGTGCTCGAAACGTGGTCATCAGTAAACATTACTGTATAACACTGTAAGACTTTATCAAAACAAATTTTACCCATAATGGAATATAGATTGCTGTTTGTTTACAATCCAACTGGCTGTGGTTCAAGTAGATAATCCTAAATGAGTTGTTCACCGGGATAAGAACTTAGACACTCTGCCTCTCCCTACGTGATGAAAAGTCAACAGTCACCGGCTTCATTGATTGATACCACGTTTGGATTTGACTACCCCTAACTCTCTTCCAGTATAATCCGATATCTGACTGACTGGTTTCAACGTAGAACTTTGCATGGATGTGCAGTAGTTCGAGTTGCCACACTTCACTTAGCACACAAAGCAAGAGAAGAAAGTAAAAAAGAGATTCAAAAGAGAGATAATAGACAGAAATATGAGGCAAAAAGACTAGTTATATGGAAGTACAATATGGTTTTATTGGATATTATAAGTCACAAGAAGTGGATGCATCTGCGTCAGCCATTGAGAACGATGAGTTTGAACCATATAACCAATTGTCTCCAACCTCCATTGGTTCTTACTATGCAGAGGAACCCAACCATTGAGGAAGTCTACATTTTCTTACGTGGCTGGCTGGTTAGCTTAAACTAAATGTTGTGGATTTCATTGACTAATGAAGCCCTGTTTTGGTTTGACCACCACTGGCTCAGATATCAGTTATCCGATATCAACTAACTCTGCTCAGCAAGGAAGGCGATAGTTTTGTATACATAACATGTGTCCTGACCAACTCACTCAATACAACTTCACAACGTCGATTGATTGTTCCTCCTTATCTAGCAATATTAATCGCCACATTACACCATTGAAACACGAGAGATAAAGCTTTCATGTAGAGTACCTTGACTAAGGCACTGTTGACCACTCTATAGGACCTAGCAGGAAATATACATCCAAAAAATTCACTTAGACAACTAGTCTTCATTATATCTAAAAACATAGTGCATGGGAGTTTTCTAAGATGTAATGCTTATTCAGTTGTAGTACAAATGGGGTATCTTAGATGAAAAATGATTACATTAAAAGATAGTGATATTTTTAAAGTGGATTTTGCTTAAATCTTCGGGATATGGTATTTTTATTGGTATGGCTTAAAATAGCGCTTAATTTTGCTGGACCTGTGTTAATTTAATAGGGATGGCTGATGGAGTTGGAATTAAAAAGTTAAAAAAATTCTTATGCTGGATATGCCAAGATGAAATGTTCAGCGCAGGAACCTAACAGGAATCAAATCGCGATATGTTGTGGAAATATATAATGCAGAAACTGAAGTTGTCACTTACCCGACTCCTAACAGACCTGTGAAACATTTTTGTGTTAAATTTTTTATTCCATGAATAATTCCCATTCGGACATTAGTAGACAAAAGACAAGTAGTTCAGCAAAGAGTCTCTTTTCGGCGAATTCATTTTCAAAGCTGTAATTTTTTAAATATTCAAACTCCTTAATCTTACTGCTGGTGTTTTCAAGCATAACCATTTGATGAAAGAAGGTGGATAATGATCAGTAAAGCTTTATGTGCTTATGGAAGTGTGTGACTGGTTGTCACCTCCCGGTTGTCCACACTGAAAGCTGATTTCTTTTTGAAGTACATAAAATAGAAGGAACATTAGGGTTGTATGACCATGGAACCCAAGCGGACAACTGCTTGTGGCCCGTTACACACACCTGGTATCCCCCAAGGTGCTGTACTCTCCCCACTTCTCTTCTCTTTCTTTCTACATGACTTACCATCTTCAAATAACATTAATTTTGTTAAATATGCTGACGATCTGACTGTATCTTTGCCAGTCAAGTGTCAAAGTGACTGCTCCAAACTAAACGGCTTTTCATCAGAAATCAGCCAGTGGTCCAAGAAAACGGTCTTACCTTAAATCCTTCTAAATGTCAAACAGTCAATTTCACCTTTAGGCATAAATCTAACCTAAACAAACTGGTTAGCACTCACGAGGTGTGCAACATAGATAGCACTGAAATAGAGACCAAGTCGGAAATTAAATATCTTGGCGTCATTCTATCTGCTGATCTTTCCTGGTCGTCTCATATCTTGATGATTTCTAAGAAAATATTCCGTCTTACCTTCTACATCAAGAAGTTAAGACATTCTGGAATAACCCAACCCTTACTCTTACGATTCGTTAACTCTTGCATTCTGCCTATTATTCTGCGTTGTTCCCCCCTTAGTTTTTCCAGGGCTACTGAAGAAGGACTATATCCTATTACGTAGAGTGTTAATGGTTGTTAACAGGGTAAGCAATGTGCCACTTAACTAGCTTGTTAATATTCTGGTCGACAGGCACTTGGACTCATGTGAAAAATGGGCTAAATCCATTCTATCTAACTCACACCACCCTCTTCATTCACAACTCTCCCCTTGTATCTCATCAGGCAGGACCAGAAGCCTATATAGAAAACTATATGCTCGCACTAGCAAGTACAAAAACTCAACCATACCCTACTTAGCTCGTGTTCTGTGTGATAAAGAAAGCATTAGGCGTGAGACTTGTAACTTATTACATAGTCAGTAGAACAATTGGATCTCGTCTTCCCAACTCATATCATTTATAGGTACAACGTTTTCTTTTTTCTTTCTTTTCTTTTTCTCTTTTTTTCTGTTGTGCTGTTTTGTTTCTCTCTTTCTTACAAACTCTACTTAAAACATTCTTCTTAGTTCTTTCACACTCTGTATATCTCGACCTTTTTGTTACCGCTTACGCCAGTAAATATGCTAGCATGTACTTTTCTACTAACACCTTCAAACATTCTGTTCACTTTTGGCTTTGCTACCGATATGCTAATATGCTGTTTTCAAAACTAACTGAGATTATTTTTTGTTAATGTACTAACTGGATGCAATACTTTAGTGAAATGCTGAGAATTCCATTCTGTATCATAAGTACTGTTTTGGAATAAAGCAAATTATTATTATTATTATTTAAAGTGGTTTTTAGAGTTGTGTCTGTATGAAGATGATACCGTCACAGGGCAAGTTGGGATGTATAACTTGTCGTCAGATAAATACTTTCTAACCTACCTGCTCTTCATAGCTGAGAGGCAGCTAGTTATCCAAAAGAAACATCCCATTGCTGTTACATCCCAATTCGCCAGCAGTACAACCCGATACCTAGTGTGAGCGATTTACACTATGCTGGTAACCCTTTTTTGGCTTAGGCTCTATCCAAACAACCTTTGTGGCATGATATAACCTGGTGAAACTGCTATTCCAGCCAGTATGGCCCTTTGGGTCTTTGCGATATATGCAAACTCGATTATCACGTGAAGGTAGTGGCTATCGGTCAGGATTTTACAGGGTCTTTATTATTTTCTTATTGTGTATATTATGTGACACCCATAGTGGTGTATCTGTGGTGAATTAATTCCCTTTCATTTTGTGCTTATTGTTTTGATAATTGTCACATTATATATTGCTGTATTTTTTGTTATTTTTTCATACTATTGTACTTTGTTCAATATACAATTTCTTTTAGCACGAACATTAAAAATGCGTGGACAAGCTTTTGTTGTCTTCGATGATGTCAATAGCGCGTCAACAGCACTTAGAGCTATGCAAGGCTTTCCGTTATATGAAAAACCAATGCGAATTCATTTTGCCAAAGTGGATTCTGATGTCATCGCTAAACGCAAGGGTACATTCATCCAACGACCGAAAGCTGCATCAAGAGCAGCTGCGGCTGCGGCTGCGGCCGCCGCTGCAGAAGCTGCAGCATCAGCTGCTGCAATAAACTCCGCTGGTCCTCAAGGTGGTACCAGTGCCAGGGCTATTCGTAGGAGGCAACAAAGAGCAGCTGCTGCGGCAGCGGCAGCAGCAGCCACTGCGGCAGCCAGCGGTGATACCGGCAATGAAACACAGTCGAATGGTGGGGATCAGCAGAACAGTGAATATCGGCCTATTCCTCCGCCTCCACCACCACCTCCTGCTGCTATCAATCCAGCCACTATACCAGATCAACCACCGAATAAAATTCTCTTCTTAACTAATCTACCCGATGATTCTGATGAAGCAATGCTAAGTATGCTATTCGGTCAATTCACTGGTTATCGTGAAGTGCGTATGGTCCCAGGGCGGCATGATATCGCATTTGTTGAATTCGGCAATGAAGTGGAAGCGTCAGCTGCAAAACTTGGCCTTCAAGGTTTCAATATTCGACCGGGTAAACCGATACGCATTACATTTGCTAAAAAATGAAGAGCTCGTTTGCAGTCATTTCTGTGTGACATTCAACTATTGAAATTCATTATTTTATACATGTACATGTTTCGAGTTTAATAATAATAATAACAATAATAGAATTGAAAACCTATTCGGTCGTTTATGACTTTTGTTTTGCATAAATATCATACTGTGATGTTTATTGAATTGTATGACTGTCGGGAATGATTGTTGGTTTTTGTTGTTCTACTTATCCCTACTTAAGCTGAATTGTTTTCTCTCTCGTATCTAGTTTGTGATGCTGCTCTCATAAACCTTTGTAACTTGAATAATTTCAGTTTCCAAAAGCCGAAATTTTAGTGAAGTTTCACCTCTTCGAACTGTGCAAATTGATGTATTACTATTCAGTCCCTGATTTTAGTACGTCGTCGGCTAGCCGATGTCATCAGCGAGTATTTGTCCGCACTCCCGATCGGAGGTGGACTGCACTGGTCACGAACTCTCAGTAGAACTCCAGGAAACTTCATTCTGTAACCAGCCACTGGCGGGTTCGAATCGGGGTGATAGGTGCGTGCTTCCGATGGGTCCATAACTAGGATGAAACAGCTATCCAGTACTCTGCTGCTGGGTTTTCAACGATTTTGTCTCTAACTTATATCAATCCGTTGCCAAACGGATCCCTACTCTGGCTACCTAACCAGAAATCGGGTGGTCATTTGAACTGATTTGGTTCTTTGAATTGAAACCAGGTACACCGCTGATGAGCAAACCGACCTTCTTAGTGTTTAGATCACTTCTGTCTGGTTAACCAATAAGCATTACTGGTTGATGTGAATGATGATGTCTAACTACTTATTTCAATCAGTCAGTAGTATATGGCGTCATGGACATTATTATTATTGTTTCCTTTAGTTCCTAGAGGAACATAGGGCTTCAGCCGCGCATCTCCATTGCGTTCGGTTCTCTGCGAGAGTCTTCACCTGGCTCCAGGTCTGCCCACACGTTTTCATCTCCTCATCACATGACCTCCTCCAAGTCACCTCCGCACTGACGACCAACTCGCCGCTTCCCATTCGGGTTCCACTCGAGCAATGGCTTGTCTAGTAATGTCACTTGATGGTTTCCTCAGAGTATGGCCAATCCACCTCCATTTCTTCCTGCCTATTTGTTTTACAATCGGTTCCTGGTTGGTTCGCTTGCAGAGATCTCTGTTGCTGATCTTTTCTGGCTGGTCATCTAATCTTGAGTATTGAGCGAAGACAACTGTTAATGAAGGTCTGTAGTTTGTTTGAGATGCTCTTTATGACACGCTGGCCAAGTCTCTGATCCGTATAGTAGCACTGACTTCACATTGGAGTTGAAAATCCGGATCTTATTTTCATACTGAGTAGTGCTGTTGACCTCCACACAGACTTGAGAGTAGTGAAAGCTTGTCTTGTTTTTCCGATTCTTGCTTTGATATCCTCGTCAGTTCCGTCTGCCTGTAGTTGAAACGACGCTTCCCATGTAGGTAAAAGAGGTTGTTTCTTTCAGGTTCCTTCCATTTATGCTGATTGTTGTCTGTTGTTGTTGCTGTTGGTGGTGTTGTCCAGGAATCTTCATCACCGTCATGGACATAACCATCACTAACAAATACTTAAGATTATGAAATCTTGATATCTAAGTTCTGTCAATAAGTTGTCGTTTAAAAGTCTTCCTAAACTTCTGTTGAAGCGAAATGTAGAGTTATTGTTATGGTCTGATAATTAGTTCCTACAGAGTGATTATTGTGACAGTGTAGATTGTGATGTGTGACAAAGTAATTTGAGATGTGTCTCTTAAACAGGCTGAAAGAAGTGTACCGTTAGTATCAAGACATTTTGGGCAACGACTCGAAAAGCTCCACCCAGTATTCTAGTTGGCTTATTGCAAAGACAGTCTTTCTGACACTATTCTTCGTGCTGGTGTTAGCTACGGCAAGGTAGGAAACTCTCTTCACTACCTTTCATGCCTCTTAGTTTTCTTATGAACATTGTGTAGTTTTCTATGCATGTCATAGAACTCCCAGTTGTCTGGGATAGCTAGACAAGCAACAAAATGTTGTACGCAGTTGAATGGACACTTAGTATTTACAAGCTATTGTATTGTATTTAACCATTCCCCAATTGATCAATATGTTACCTACATTAGTCTACCATGAAGACTACTGGTGTTGAGATCTGTTAAGTTGAATGTGATGAAGTTAGATGGCTCTCCTGTGTGACACATTGGTTGGCGATGACGCCGTGTCGCGTGAATCGACGAAAGTTAGAATACTTGGGCTATCTGATACCACTGACTCAATGAATATTTGTATGTTGTTCGCCTCCTGATATTAGTGTTTTGCATGCATTCTCTGCTTTGGAGACAGACTTGAGTGTCTACCTCTTCTGAAAAGTCCTAGTCTAAGGCGAAATAGCTAACTAGTGTTTCTCTAAATGATTTTGCTTCATGACGAAATCAAATCCATGAAATCAATGTGAAATCTGCAAATTCAAAACTTAACAAGGTAGTTAGTTAGTAATGAGGATTGCTTATAAAAATATTGATGGGCATGTTTTTTTTAATCTCGGAGAAATATTTGACGTCATCTTACGATTATGTCTAAATGTGTAGGGAATCTCAAGCAAATATGTCGTGTTATTTAATTCAATTTGAACCTTCCCGTTGATTGATTGGACCGAAGTGCTTGGCTTCAGGTTGTCATGTGTCGTCGGCTCCTTGTGCAGATGCTTCGACGATGTCCAATTATTTAACTTGAAGTAAATTGGCGGATGGTGACTAGCGGCAGTGGAATCCAGGATGCACGTCTCCTCCTATTTTGGACTAACTCTCCAGCTGGGGATGTACCTGCGTTCCCCAATGAGTGATGGTGCTCTCACTGAGGCTAAAATCCAGTACTCATGGTTTCAGACGTCAAAGCGTTATCCACTAGACCAATTGGGTCATGAGAGCCACCCTCTTGTGCAATGGGTATGAGTTATTACTTAATTAGATCTGGACCTTCTTGTTGATTGATTGAACTAAAGTGCTTGGCCAGTGATGAGTCCGAAATAGAACGAAATGCACATCCTGGATTCCACTGCCGCTAGTCACCATCCGCCAATTTACTTCAAGTATGTCGTGTTATTAAAAAATCTTTACTCAAAATGATGTGTCTTATAGCTGGGCGTGGTGGTGTGCGCTACTTGGAGGCCAGGGTGCAGAGTTTCGCGCGACCGGGAGTTCTTGCGTATGGGCGCTCATTTTGATCGGGCGTCCATGCTAAGCACGACTTCGAAACTTGAGTTCTATAGTTTTTTTTTTGTTCTCTTCTATTTGTCACAGGGGTAGTAGAATTTTCCAGATGTCCGGATGGACAGGTGTTGAATCACGTGTTTGCAGTTGATTCGATAAACAAAGCCCCGTTATCAATCTCTCCCTCCACCTTGTTACATTAGATTTTAAAACTGTCATCTTATCACTACTATTATTATTTATTTTATTTTTACATTTCCCTACATACTTTCTGACTAATTTATCAGAGTAATTATTAAGTTTCAAAGCTTCTCTTATGTGTATCACTTCCCCTCTTAGATTTTCCTTGGTACTACTTAGTTTTTGTGCTCTATCACTTAGACATTTCACCAATCCTATTTTCACTGACATAGGATGGGATAATCGGAAATCCAAATATCTGTTTGAATGTGTCAGTGGGTTTCCTGTAAACACACTAGCTTGTTTAACTTCCCATCTTCTTTCATTTTTACACTAAGATTGGAAGCTCCTCTTACTGACTTTCCAATTCATAAGTGAATTGAATTGCCTCCACCTTTGAGGTAATGTGTTCGAAAAATCTATCTATATCCTGTGTTCTAAGTACAGTGAATGTATCGTTTACATACCTTTACCTCCAGCGCAGGAAAAAAAGCGGTGGGCATTCAAACCTACAAACTCAATTAGAAACAAGCTTTGTCGGTTACAGGATCCTGCCAATGGAGCCAATAAAACAAAACAATTTAGTTTATGTAATAACTTGCTGGAAGGACTGTCAGGTGAAATGCATAGGTCAAAGTAGTAGAACAGGGGCAGTCAGACTAGCGGAGCACAAAATGTGTCAGCGAAATATAGATTAGTTGACCTGAATAAGATGAGAAATCTAGAGAATACAGCTATACCACTCACTACATGCAATTACACACAACCATACAATAAAATGGGATAAGTTGAAGGTGGAGGGAGAGATTGATAACAGAAGCTTTGTTTATCGAATCAACTGCAAACATGTGTAGTAGGAATGATTCAACACCTGTCCATTCGGAAATCTGGAAGATTCTACTACCCCTGTGACAAATAGGAGAGGACAAAGAAAACTATAAAAGTAAAGTTTCGAAGTTGTGTGATTATAACTGATGATATGATTATGAACAGCAGTAATGAACTGTGTTCGAAACTGTGTCATCCAGTAAATAATGCTGTTCCACTCACTGTGTGATACATCTAATAAACAAACTAATGTGGAATTACTGTTGGAAATGCTCTTCATAACGTTCGCCAAGTCTTTAAACCATGTAGAAATATTAACTGATTTGACATTAATGTTAGAAATTCAAATCTTATTCTTTACACCTACTGCAATAGATTTACAGACTAATTGCAGAGAATTGTAGGTGTGATTTGCATTTCTGATCCCGACTGGCTTTTGTCGTCTTTATCCGTGCTGCCAGCCAACTTGTAGTTAGAATGATGCTATCTAGATAATGGGACGAGGCATATCCGCTTATAACAGGCGGTGATATTAGATACATTTAAGCTTCTAACGATAGGTATCTACGTAGCATTTCTCGTGTCCGTTAGTCTGTCTGTTTTCAGCATAGAACTTTGCACCGATGTGCAACAGTTCAAGTCACCACTCTCCCTCCATTTAGCACACAAAGCAAGAGAAGAAATGTAGAATAGAGGTAGTAAACAGGGATATGAGACAACATAGTTTCATTGGGTATTATTAGTCACAAGGAATGAATGCATCTGCACCAACCATTGAGAACGACGAGTCTGAGCCATATGACCGATTGTATCCAGCCGTCATTGGTGTTTACCTTCCCGAGGACCCTAACCAATCAGGAAGTCTATATCTTCCTACGTGGCTGGCTAGCTTAAACTAACTGTTGTGGATTTCATTGACTGATGAAGCCATGTTTTGGTTTGAACACCACTAGCTCTTTTCCAGCCTGACCCGATGTCAGCTAACAT